TGTTACGCATATCACAGCCATTTTGTGCCTTTTTTGTAGATGCATACATCGCAAGGTTTGGGGTTTCTTCATAAAATGGGTTGGGCTGGAAGAGACCATTAAAGATCATCTAGTCCAACCCATCTGCCATGGGCAGGAACATCTTTCAATAGATCAGGTTGCTCAAAGCCCTGTCCAACCTGACCTTGAAGACTTCCAGAGATGGAGCACCCACAGCTTCTCCGGGAAACCTGTACCCATGTCTCACCCCTGTCATCATAAAAAACTTATTCCTTTATTACTGCTATCACCTGAGTTCCTCAAGTGGAGACTCTGCATGGTGAGGCAGCATGCTGGGGGAGTGGAGAGGGCTAAGCGAAGTGGTGGTGGCCTTTCCGTGGGTGCTTGTCCTCACCTTTGCCTGTTGGCAGCCCAGACTGACCGGGTTGAATTGGGAGGTAAGGGACAGTGCTGCAAAGAGGCTTGGTGTTCGGCTGGAAACAGCTCGTGCCTCCAGTAGGTGCCTCCAGTATTCCCAAGGGGCATTCACAGGGCATCTGTAGTTGAATGCAAGATGTCCACAAAGAACAGACCTTGGAGTGAGCTGGAAGGGCTTTGGATGACTATAGCCATGAGTTGACAGGAGGACCCCAGGAGACGGAGGCAGATGAGAGAGAAGGTAGAGACAGACGCTGCCACGAGACGAGTATCTGAAGGGCAGGGAGAGTCGTAGCCATCAGGGCTTGTGTTTATCTTTGCAGCAGTGATTATTTTCAGATAGCAGTGTGAGAGAGAGTAAATCGTCAGCTCCTGCTATTAATAGCACTGCAAACAAGGCTGTTGCTCATTACTGACAGGTGAGATGAAGTTAATTTTATTTCATGGTAGGTATGAATAAGTGCAAAACCAAGACAGGCTCTGAGTCAATCCCCTGGATCCAGAAAAAATGGGGAAGAGACATTTCCCCACCACCACCCCCGCAGCCCCTGGGGGGTGGCAGTGTGGGGTGGTTTTCCCAGGGTGCTTTCACGTTGCTCCAGAGTAAGTGCTGCTGGAAGAGTGGGTATGATGAGAGGAGCTGCAACTGGCTAGAATTGCTGAAAACATTGTAGCCACCTTTGAAAACTTGAGGTATCTTTAGCAGGCTGATGGATCTGGCCACTGGAGATCCCCAGAGCAGATGCAGACACGAGGTGGGCAGTAGGGGAAAAGTCTTGGGGATTGATGGCGCTGGTGTAAACAAGAGCTGAATGCAACTTGCATTGTTTGAGCAGATGTGTCCTGTCTGCTTCTAATTATAAGCGTTGCATGCACAACACACTGGGAGATGTGCCAGATAGTATTTCTTTTCACGTTGAACTCAAAATCATTATAATTAAGCTTTAAAGTTGTAAGTAAAAACTAACAAGGAGTGCGTGTTTGCTGTCATGCTACTTGCAACCAGGCTGGTCCCCACCAGGGTGGATGGGTGTGAGGGTGAGGCCTCCATCCTGGAGGGTGGTTGGAGGGGGCTGGGGGTGTGAAGGGACTTGTGGGCTCTGCCGTGGTGGGCATGCCAGATTTGGGTTTTAAATAGGCAGAAGACCCAAAAATACTAGAAACGTGCTGTTTTACAAATGTGGGAAGTGTTGCTGAGTGAGCTTTAGCAGCCTCTTGAGCTTGGTGGGTACAGAGGAGAGGTGCTTGCTAAGAAGGGAAAATTGGGAATAAAAGCGGGAAGCAATCAGGGAAGTGATCACATAACTTTGGGCTGAGAGGAACCTAGATTGGCATCTCTGGTTTGAGGAAAATGAGGCAGACTTGCTGAAGAAGCAGCTCCAGGAGGAGTTGTCGTGCACAGGGCTGGATGAGAGGGTTGTGGTGGCTGTGCCACTGGCTGCAGCTCAACAGGCACCAGTTGATGGCTGCTCTGTGGCGCTTTTTGGGGCTGCCTCAGGACTGGATGGGTGCTGGGCACAGCACCGTGTACCCCCGGGGGAGCATCCCACCTCTGCTCCTCGAAACAAACATGGGGAGACTCACGAACCCCCTTTTTGGACTACACCGCAGGAGCTGAAATTGGTAGCCACGCATGTAGGGGTGAGGGTCGCTGCGCCCCCAATTTCATGGGGTGCTTGTCGTGCGGCCAGAAGCGTGATGGATGGGCTGGGGGGTGCGTTGGGCAGAGCTGCCACGTGATGAGCAGGTTAAAAACAGCGTTGTGGAGCAGAGAGCAGTGAGCTCTCAGCCCTGCGATTTGTATTCAGAGGGAAGGTGACTGCTGGGTTTCAGCACTTATAGGTCTTCGTCTGGGATCGTGTCTGAATAAATCAACGTTTTGAGATCCAGGTGAATGCAGGGGAACAAGCCGCATTGTCAACGCGGCAGCAGAGGAGAGGAATCTTAACTGCTCACGATAAGTGGGTCAGGATGGGTCCTGGTGTTTTAAAAATTAGCTGTTGACCTAGATAGCAACAGCATAATGACTCGCTCACAGTGGGAACTGAAGCGAGTGTCGCTGGAGCTGTGCGTCTGTCCAAAGGTGGGGACAAGCCCGGCGTGCTGGGTTGAACCTGGGCTGGTTCCCCGTGCTTTGTTTGTGCCCAGCTTTTCCTCGGCAGCTGGGCTGTGCTGTGGTGAAGCGTGGAAGACCTCAGCCATTTCTTTCTGATGACTTTGCCGAGTTGCAAGGTACATTGGTGCTGCAGGCAGCAGCCTGGGAGACCTCTGCTGCCCTGTGCTTTGCTCTCCTCCAGTAACAAAGGACTCTGAGTTGCCTGATTTGTTTCCCACCACCACCCATTCTGCAGAGGGAGCGGTGCTGTGCACCCCTGAGCACCCACCCAGGCTGTTTAATGCTGGTCCTTGCAGAGATGTGCCACGTGCTTGGGTTGGGGCAGTTGGCATGGTAGATGCTAAAGATGGAGCTGCTGCCCAAGTCAAGTTTTCTTCTGCTTAGCGTGTGGCAGGTCATGGTGTGCCAGAGGTTTCTCCTGTGATGGGGTCCTCTTCTTCCAGATGAAGCTGTGCTCCTCGTGAACACTGAAAATCAGCACTTTGCTTGGCAAGAGACCTGTCAGTGCCTCTAGTTAGCTGCCATAATTGAATAGTGGCTTTCTTGGGTGTTAATTAAGTAATTTCCAAGCTAAGATCGCAGTTGCCCTGTGCTGACAGCATTAGTCTTTTCAAGTTCAATTGAAGATGCTTTTCCTTCACTGGGATTTTCTGTAAAGATCTTTAGTTAAGACCTGAGTATTTCATTACTTGAATTTAATTTGGCTTTCGGTTGGGATTTTTTTTTTTTTTCCAGGTCCCCTTGCTGGTGAGGCCAAGTGATGCTGTAACACTCCAGAGTTAGAACAGTTTCTAATTGTATCATCTTTAATGTTTGCTGGCCATTACAAGCAGGGGGATGGGGTGCTGTTGGTGCCTCTCTTCAGCGAGGTCCAGTGTTTTTTGAGCTTTATAACGGGCTGTGGTCAGAGTGCTTGGGACCCCGAGTTGCTCTCCCCAAGCCTAACTGGGTGTCCGTCAGGCTGCTGGGCTTTTTGATTAGATAGTTTTTTTCTCTGACCTCTTGAAAGCAGCATTTGCCCTACAGACCCTTCAGCCCCATGGCAGAGTGGCAGCGCTGACCCCCTGCACCCCTAAAAGCACAGACTGTTTAAGCCACATGCTCATTCCTGGAGCAGTGTGCCTGCTGACCGGTGCCAGGGCGCAGTTAAGGGTGGGCTGGTTTTGCCTGCTGAAAGTGCACGGTTTTGGCCCGAGTTGCACAAGCACTGCATTCCTGGCTTGCGAGATGCTCTCGCCTGGCACGTGCCAACAGAGGAGCAGCAGCTCCAAAGCAAGGGAGACCCGGGCACAAGCACCTCAACCTGTGGGGAAAAAGGAGTGGGTGAGCGTGATCTTGGCTGTGCACGGGAGATGCTCTTTCTGAGGGTGTATATGGCATTTTTTCCTGTTAGTTCTCTGCTGGCTTTCATGGTCTCGGTTTCTTACTCTTGCTGCCCAGTTTGGATTTTCTATTTGAAGCTGTCTTAAGCAGGTCCTGCACTGAGCTCCTGAAAGCTTCAAGGGGAGGATGCTTTTACATATCCAGATGTGCATGGGGAGAGTTCAGAAAAAAGCCAAGCAGTCATTTATTGTGACCCTTTCATACTGTCACCCTTTCATCTCAGGTCCTTGTGGGTGGAGAAGCGGGCGGCAGGAGGTTGGGCCCGTGGCTTGGTGCCTGGCCCAGTGCAGGCTCAGGTTTCCCAGCCCCAGGGAGGCTCCGCCACCTCCCTGTGCCCCAGCCCTGCCTGCCGTGTCCCAGCACGGGGGCTCCCGTCCCGTTCCCAGCTGGCTGCCAGCCCCTCGCCACAGCACTGTCATCCCAGTTGGGCCCTGCGCTCTCGAACCGCCGAGGACGCTTCTCCCCCGCGGGCTCTTGCTCGCTCCGGGGACCGCAGGTCTGCCCGGAGCACCGTGATGTGCTGGTGAGCCCGGGGATGTGCCGCCCACGCCGCCGGCGAGCCCTTCACCTGGAGACGAGAGCCGCTGGAACGTGTGACACCCAGTAAAGGAGTTGGGCAGCAAAGCGCACGAGGGGCTGCCCGTGCTGCTGCTGGGGCTCCGGGTGGGATGCAACGAGCAGCCAGAGATGGGTTGTGCTGTGCTGGGAGGGATCTGGGGCTCACTGCAGTGGAGTTACGTGACTGAGCGCGGGTCAGTAGTTACCCGTCGTGCCACCGTGAGCCAAGGATCGTTACTGGTGTGCGATGGCAGCCAAATGTGCTTCATAACGCTTGGCCCTTAGGAGTCTCGTTTTGTTTTGGAGTGACTTCCCTGTGCGTTTTTCCTTGGGAAAACAACATTCCCTACATTCAAAAGATAAAGTGTGGTCCCTATTTATGGAGATCGTTAGTCCCCATGTGTGTCAGAGAGGTGATTTCGGACCCCAAGCCCAGCTCCCAGCGCTGTGTTCGTCAACAGGCGCTTTGCCTGCCTTGCCCCTCCGGGCTGGCCGGCAGCAACATGTGCTGCTTTATCTCCCACAGGCTCCTGCTTCTGGGTCGCCGTCCTGGACGGCAACGTGGTGGGGATCGTGGCAGCGCGGGGCAACGAGGAAGACAACACGGTGGAGCTGCGCCGCATGTCCGTCGACTCCAACTACCGCGGCAAAGGGATCGCCAAGGCCCTGGGCCGCAAAGTGCTGGAGTTCGCTATGCTCAACAACTACTCCTCTGTCGTGCTGGGAACCACGGCCGTGAAGATGGCAGCCCACAAGCTCTACGAGTCCTTGGGGTTCAAGCACGTGGGTGTCGTCGAACATTACGCCCTGCCGGGGATGACGCGCTCCTTACTGGAGAGAATGTTTTTCCAACTCCGCTACCACCGCTACCGCCTGCAGCTGCGGGAAGAATAAAAAAACCCAGCCAACCAAACACACACACACACAAAAAAAAAAAAAAAAATATTTTTTTTTTCCTCCTCCTCTCCCTTCAAAAATAACAAATTACCCTTCTATTTCTCATCACTGTTGATTTGCCAATTTTGGGTTGAGTTTTCGTTCCCTCACGTCATCTTTTGGTTTGCTCCGTGCAGCTCGATCGGCCGGCCGAGCAGCGCTCCTTCCTCGCATGCTGTAGGTGGTGGTGCTGGGAGTCCTGCGACCCGGCGGGGCAGAGCGGAGCGGAGCAGCGGCCTCTCCTTCCCAGGTACCTCCTCAAAGCACAGAAACTAAACTGCAGACTAGTACCACTGCTCTGGTGTACATAGTCCTCTCCTTTTCCAAATGTAAGATAACATTAGTGATGCATTCATAATAGTGCAGAAATATTACTTGAATGCAGTTTTCAGTATTTCATGCACCAGTAAGTAGAATATGCATTTGTCTTACCGTTATTTACTGGTTAATAGTTTTCAAAGAAAAGGTGGGGGGCCAACCCTCCCCTGCCCCAACCTGCTTGCTACAATGCATGAAGAGGAAAGCGCGTGCACGCACTCAAACACATCGCACTGCCACCACGGCACTGGTGTTGCACTTTTTTTGGATGTGCCTCATTCTGCCAAATGTCTGAGAGACCCTGGGTGCATCCGGTAACCACGACTCCGCTCCATCCCCCCCCCTCCTTCCTAAGCCAGCACAGACTCGGACCGGCTGAACTCTGAGCCCCATTGTACCATAGTGTGAAGTTAAGATCAAACCTAAATATCTCCTGCGCTGTTCTGTAGCCACGCGTAACCTGCAGTCCTGGGCCAGACTCCGCATGTGCGTTGGACTTTCTCTTTGCTGCCTTTTGGGGGTTTTTTGTTTGTTTGTTTTTTATTTTATTTTTAAGGGGGGTTTTTTGTTGTTGTCGTTATTATTTTTTAGTTTTAGCTTTTGCTGAATGGTGTCATTGAGGCGTAATGGAGGCTGCAGTTCCTATGGCAACACATTTGCACATTAATGTGCGCACCAAATTTAACCACTTCAGAGAAGCAACGTGTGACAGATAATAGCATTTTGGGGAGTGCCGTGGGGGGGAGGGGGGTATGGGGTGTCGGGGGGGAAGAGCATACTTATCTTAACCAGCTGCTTGTTTGATAAATGTAGATGGCCTCACTGCAGCCTTCCATCAAAGGTAATTAACTGCTTTAATGATGTCAGATTTGTGAATTGTACAATGCAAAAAGCAATGCAAAGCAGATTCGGCATGTGTCTGTACCCGGTATGTATGTACAGTGCCTGCCAACTAAAAAATAACCAAGACTACAGCTTCTTCTAGCCTGAGATATCAACTTTTATAACTTATTTAAACAAATAGCAACTCTGCATGAATTACGCCTTGGGGAAAAAGATCGGTAGGTTTTAATTTTTAAAACGTGGTATCAGAAGTATACGTAAAACCATTTCTGGCTGCACTTAATTTGGGGTGGGTGGAGGGGTTCAGCTCTGTTAACACATTTAAAGGGAAAATCCCATTAATTTAGTTCCTGGGGGGAAAAAAAAAAAAAAAAAAACAAAAAAAAACACAAAGTTACTATTTTAGGAAGTATTATGTGCGTGTGGGGAGGGGCAAAAAACCCCACCACCTATCGCGATGAGCTTGATGACCGGGTGGAGCACGTGTTAACCGCGCTTGTTGCACTTGCAAACACAAGGGGAGCACCGGCGGGAGAGCCCCGGGGGGGCGGCGGCGTGGGGAGCGGAGCGGGGACCGGGGCGGGCGGAGGGGCGGCAGCACCGACCCCCGGCTGGGGCGCAGCGCGGCCCGCGATGCGGGGCGGGGCCCGGGGGGCGGGGCCCGGGGGCGGGGCCGGGGGGCGGGGCCGCCGCTTGGCACAACCCGGCAGCGCTGGGGGCGGGGCTCGGGCTCGGCCCGGCCCCTCAGGAGCCGGAGGGGCGGAGTCCCGGCGTGTGTCCCTGCAATAAGGGGGGAAATGAGGGTGGTGAAGGGCACTGTAGCAAGAGACCGTGAGCTTAATTAACAAAATTTCTGTGTGGGGCACTATATTTTTAAAAGTCTTTCTATGCTGTACATTTCTCCTGAAGCTGAAATAATGTACTGTTGGTAGGGGTTTTTGTATAGTGTACAGAAATTGGCAGAATATTTTCTTGCTGCATTCAGTGATTTATTAACCGAAGTAAAATAGACAAATATAAAGTCTTAGCAAAAGTTGAAAGAAAAAAAAAAAAAACAAACAGTTTGTGCCTTTTTTTAGTTTATTTTTCTGTTGCTATATAATCACTGCACTAAAACCTTTACAGAGGGGAAAAAAATAGGAAAAAAAAAAAAAAACAAAACCAAAAAACAAACACTAGTCTCTTAATAAGGGAGGAATACGTAAAGCCTAAATTAAGCATTAATTTTTTTATTGGGATATTTAATTAAAAGAATGTTGCTGGTTTTATTTGATACCTGTGCCTTTGTAATGAAACTCCACATCCTGTCAGAAAAGCCAAACCTGGAATAAATCCCACCAGATCCCACAGATGCAGAAGTACCACCAGGTTACCAGTATTTTCTTTTAAAACATGTAAACCTTAACTGATGATATTACAGCATCCGATCGTATAATACCTGTTGAGTTGCCTGGGAAAAAGGTGCTTTGGAAAGGTGCAGCTTTGAGGGTGCTGTCTGCATTCCTCCCCGGGCACGCCGGATGCTGGAGATGCACTGATCAGGATTGAGTCCTTGCCACTTGGCCAGTAGCTGCCGAGCAAATTTCTTCCCTTAACGCTTTTTCCCGTTGCTTTGTGACCAGGCTCTTTGGAAGAAATCCAGCCGGTTGCTCCCAGCTCTCCAGCCGGGACAGCTCGTTTCTGAAGGAAAGGGCTGACTGCCAAATAGGCCGGGTTTTGCTTTCCTTGGAAGACGGAGAGGTCTGGCAGGTGAAACACCGCTGATCGCAGCTCTGGTTTCTATTGGAAAGCCCACGTGGCTGCTGGAGCTGCATCCCTGGTAGCAGCAGTGGGACCAGGGGTACAGGACTCGGGTGTTGCTGCTGCTTTCCCACCCAGAGCTGCTCTGAATAGGATTAGACGAGGTTGGGCTTAAAAGCATCAAGTGATACTGTTGTTTCATCTGCATTCATGGGAAGTTTCCTTTAAATGTGATAGCCTGAGCTTCTTGCTTCTCCTGCACTAGATTGCCGCGCTCGGCACAGCCCAGCATGGGGACCACCCCCATTCCCCTTTCTCCAGGCTGGAGTGTCACCTCCTGACTCTTCCCATCCCAGCTCAGCGGCCGGGTGGGTGCAGAGCAGCGCAAGATGATTTGGCTTGGTCCTAAGCAGAGGAGCTTGTAACCTTGGACCTGCTGCTAGAAACCGCTTGAATCCTATTGCCAGTTGTTGAGTCTTAATTCCAACAGAGGCTCGTGTCAGTGCGAGATGGGATGGGATGCTCCTTAATTTATTTTGGTGGTTTCTTCTTCCAAGGACACTTCTATCTGGAGCGCAGGGATGAGTGGAGCAACTCTTGGGTTTTAGCCTCGGTGAATGTGGTGGCTAGTAAGACTGCTTCAGCTTTAGGCAGCGGCTGTGTTGGAGATGTGAAGGACCTTCCCCCAGCTGTGCCAGGCGCCTGCCCTTGCGCTGCAGGTTCGGCTGCCCTTGTGCTGCAGGCTGGGCCGTGGCTCTCAGCTGTGGCGGTGGGCACTGCTCGGGTGTCCTCTGCTCTGGGGGGACTGGGGCAGAGCCCTCGGCACTGGGGAAGGCACCAGGCATGATGTCCAAAAATTTTTTTAAAAAAAAAAGGAGGGGGGAGAGCTCTGCATTGCCATGGCTGAGGTCCACAGCCCTCCAGCGCAGCTTAGGCCATTCCCTCTGGAGTGAGTGGGAGCACCCTGCCCAGCCTGAGCAAACTGGAATCTCAAGCACTTGTAATATTTGGCAATAAGCTCTGCAGGAAGCTTGGCCCCTGAATGGATCCGGACCAATAATGGTGAGCAATCAAACCAACAAAGAAAGTGATTTCAAATGTTACTTGAAAGATTTGAACTGGTATTTGTTGTAAATTCATGCCGTGTTTTCCCTTCAGCGAAGCAGACAGCACCTGCAATTGCTTAGAAGTGGCAGCTGTAATTCAACTCTGCTGGGAGAGGCAGAAAAGTTTGGGGTGTTGCCATCAGTCAAAAGCTGCTCTTCTCCTTTGCCGTGCAGTATGTGGGATGGTATTTCTGTTTCGGAAGGTGTTTGTTGGAAGCAAGATGAGTTTAGTGGTGTTACAGGGAGACACTAAGGATGCTCTGTGCCCTCCGGGTCTGAGGTGCAGCAGCACTGCGGGTTGAGCTGGCTGGCAGCGTGCAGTGGGGGTGGCGTGGGGCACAAAAGCAAGTCCAGCATTTGTGATGCTGCAGAGGTAGTTACGCCCCTAAAGCTCACAGGGCACGAGCTGTTCTTCTGCGACGTGCAAGGTGGATGCACCTAATTTCTTAAAATCCCGAGGGCCAGCTCTGCACCTTTAACTCATTTCGGCATCCTCCTACAGAGGGGGTGAACCATGTGGGTACATCTGTCCCCGGAGCTGGGACCTGGACTGTTGTTTCCCCTCTGCATCTGTCCCCATGGGAAATGAGGATGATACTTTGGGTCACGGCATCTGAATTGAATGGTCTTTATGTAGGAGAAGCAGGACTAAGGGTCGGTCAGCCTGTGGCTGCTGGGTTTCGGCTGTCCCTGTCGGGGCCCCGGTGCCGCACGGCTGCAGCGGGAGCAGAGGGCGCGCGGTGCTGGGGGGGATCGGGCCCGCCCTTGCTGTGGCCGACTGTGAGAACAGAAAGTCCCAGGGTCAGAAGGCCCGAGGGGACTGCGGTGTTAGAAAACCTCATCACTACCCTTGCTGCTGCCCGTGGCTCACTGAACCGTGTCCACCTGTGATGCAGGTCTGCTGCCTTTTAATTTGCCACATTTGCTGGCTGAGGTGCAAATGGACAGAGACTGACTGCAGGGATTTCCGAATTGCCAAACACACAAAGGCAGGAACCAGCTCCGGTTACCTCTGAATTAACAATCTCATTTTCAATGTGCTGGGAGCCTGTGTTTCATTAGTGCTAGTGTGATGCTGTTGGTATGCACTCGATTTAAAGCTTAATAAAGGCATTTTAATTCCACGCTAACTGGAGTCATGCGGTGGAATATACTGTAACACGTAAAGAAAACAAAGGGATGCAAACTTAAATAAGCTTTAAGATGCAAAAGGATCATTTTCTCTGTTTTTTTTTTTTTCTCCCTCAAAATAGATCCACACAGAATCTTGAGGAAAAAAAAAAAGGTGTGCTCTTGCATCCCTCAGTAATAGAGACTATGCACACAGATTATGCTTATCTCCCACACAAAACCTGCTACCTGAATGATCATTTGGAGTACCTTTTGTTGAAAATAGAACAAGAGAATAGTTTGAAAAACAGAGTTCAGTTAAAACACAATATGATTTAAAATAACAAGCTCTAAGTCAGCATTTGGAGTTTGGTCACTGTTTCAAATCGCTGTTCCGTTCTGTCTTTCTATTACATGATGGTCAGCTGTGGGAGAGAATATGCTGGTAACATCTAAATATTAGATGATGGATTTACTGAGACCAAGAGCATAACAAATATATAATGCAACTGTAAATTTATTTACAAGTAACACATTTGAATGCAGAAGCAGCTACTGCTATGTAAGCGTAATGAACATATAGCTAACGTTGTTTTTGATTTATTTTCCTCCAAAGCTTAGTCCTTTCCACTTGTAATATGTACATTTGCTTTTTTTAAAATATAATTAGGTTTAACAAAGCATCTGTTGCTTTGTGAGTTGTACTTATGATTGTGCTGGGCCGTTAGCTTTAAGCAGTTTGTGTGCTTGTGTTATTTTATTAAAGCAAAAGTCTTTTTGAGACAAATGCGGTAAAGGTAAAGGAAAAAAAGAAATATTTTTTTGGTAGTGTTAAGCAGATGTATGGTATGCATTTGGAAAATGTCCAATGTCAGTTGAAAAAAAAAAAAAAAAAAACAAAACCAAACCAACAACCAACAAACAAAACTGGGGCTAAATTGCTTTCCAGAACTGCTCATGTTTAAGGCAGTGGCTTCTTAGTTCCTGGGTTACAGGCGAAACTCATGCCTAAATAGAAACTCGGATTCCCCCTGAACAGCCTCTTACTCTGCATCTCTTCACCGTTGTACAAGACCAATGTGAAATTAGTCTTGTGTTTTCTATGTTCAGCATAGTATGTACTGTACTTTGTAACGGGAAGTGGCTACAAGTCCTCAAAGAAAAACGAACATATTTTAAAACAGCAATAATTACCACTGTAAAGCAAATGAGCACGTGGGGAAGAGCACAGGGAGATAGTTAATGAAGATGATACCGTTAGGAACACACTGGTGTCAGTGCTGCTACTGCACCTGGGGAGCAGGACTAAGTACTAGGAAAGGGCATCGGTCTCTGGGACTGGACTTCACCTGGGCAGAGAACTTGCCCACGTAGGATCCCTCTGCCTGAATTGTTCTTTGGCGTTGTGAGTCCTTAGGCAGCGCAGGTTTTTCACCACAGTTTTAAGGGTGAGTTATTGCAAATACCGTTCCTGGTGGGAGCGACGGACACGAGGAAGAGCTGTCAGTCACACAGGGGAGGGTAGATGCTTGTTGCTGCAGTTTTGTACCCCAGCATACCCTGGTACTGCACTGCCGGGGCTCAACGATAGCAGAAAATAGAATAAATGAATATAATGTTCTTCTGGGGGGAAGCAGGAGTCAGCTCTGTCGGAAAGCTGTTTGCGTAGCATTAAGGCGCATCGATATCAACCAGTTCCTCTGGCGTGGCAGGACGTGTTAAGTTGTGTGTGAATTAGCCCGTGCTGTGCTTTAGGCATTTGAGCTCCAGCCTGCAAAGCAGCGTGGTCTCTCCATCTTCCGTCGGCAGAGCCCCGGGAGCCAGCCAGCTCTCGAGGGACAGCAGGGCGTCCTCGGGCAGGGTCAGGCGACGTGCTCCGGACAAATGACTTGTAGGTACTTAAGTTCTGTTCCTGATGGCCGCTGTAACTGTGAAAATTAACCAGACCTGCTGTGATAAATTTGGTTATATAAGGTTTATTTGGTTAATTTTTTATAAGTGAAAACTGAAAAGATGAAAGAGAATTGTAATATGAAAGCAACTGCTGTAAATAATGTACGAATGAATAAAATCTAAAACTTATGTCAGTTTTTTCCTAAACTGTATTGCTGTCAAGTTACTGACACCGCAGTGCAGGCGGTGCCTGCATCTTTTCCGGCTCCCACTCCAGCACAGACAAACACCATTCATTCCTCTCATGCATATCCAGTCATGCATGTCCTTGGATTATATTTCCACGCTGTTCCAGCTCACTGACTAATGCCAACAGGTTCAGATGTGTAAATGTTCCTGGAGCTGCATAGAGTGAGTGTGGAGCCACCCCTGGGCATTGCATTGCTGGCGCTGCCCTGTGCTGGGACGGTGGCCACTGGGCACAGCTCTGCCCAAGGCCACGAGCCTCCACGGCCAGCTGGAGTGCTCGCATCCAAAATCCGACCAGAGACCGCCCTGAGCAGTGCCCCATTGGAGCAGACAAAAACAAACCCATGCAGTGCTGTCTGTTCTGCCACCAAGGCCACGAAGCAGCAGAGCGCGCGTTACTCGTGAGGATTTTTTGTGGTGGAGGAGCATCTTTGTGGGTTCCCCAAGACACACAACCCCTTTTCTCTTCCCTACGTCCGTGCGCTTCCGTAGGTAAAAGCCAGCACGGATGGGCTGTTCCCGGCTGTGGATGTGTTAGATCTGCCCGAGGCTGTTTCTGACCAACTCTGAGCAGCTGTGAGGCAGGGAAGCACTGGCCTCCGATTTGGGGAGGGGAAAGGGGGCTCCAGCCTTCCGCCCTGTTAAATACAGTTGCAATAAACTGATAGCTGCTGAAATGGCCTCTAGGGATGTTTATTCCTGAGAAGCAATTTTTGGTGGCAGTTACAAATGATGCCAGGAAAGCCCTGCCAGCCAGCGGCTCAGGGGCGCCCAGGCACGGCCCTCCCCAGCAGCCTGGCTCTGGAGGTGGCCCAGGCAGCCCCCAGCAAGGGCACTGGGTGCTATCACCTTCCCAGCGGTGCCGGTTGAGGCCTTGAGGTGTGCAGGGTTGCCTGGCTGAGCAGTCAGGCAGCAGAAGGTTTAACGCCTTTGCCGTATGGATCCGGCTCCTCTCGCTTGTCTGCTTTATCCAGATGCGGAGACAGCTGATAGCAGTATCTCGCCCAGAGGAGGAGTATGTCATACACCTCTGGGACTGATAGTGATGTGCTGTGGGATTTGGGGGTGTTCTGCGGGGGAAACAGTTGTAAGCTCATGCATGTGCACAAGCTTTATTTTACACCAAAGCTACCCAAAAAAACCCCTAACATAAAATTGCTTTAGTGACGAGGAAAGTGGCAACAAAAGCTGTGTTAGTTTTAGAAGATGTATTATGCGTGTGCTGTGTGACTTAAAGCACCTCAGTTAACTGCTAATTGGGTTCTCACTCTCCACTAACAGGCAACACATCCCTGTCCTGGTCCTCTTTTCTTCCCCTTCAGGGTGGCTTGCTTCTGATGGGGACGAGGACTCTGCTGCCTCGTGCTCTAGACGAAACAGGACCTCATGATTCCTTCCTCTGTTTCAGGCTCCCTAGCACACCCACCACCTATATACACCTTAATGTTGCCTAAAATCCAATGCAAACCAGCAACACACAGCCATTCTCCCCCAGGCTGTCCCCTCTGCTGTATCCATGTCCTCTCCTCACTGGCTTGGTGCTCTCCCAAGAAAAGGAGGGAGGCTGAGGCTGGAGCCAGGCAGGGAGGCCCCTGGGTCCAACAGTTGAGCACATCCAGCCCGCAAAACAGCTTTTAACTTGGCCAAACAGCCACCAAAATGTTCCATCTAGCTACCTATCCAGTCACCTGTCCACCTTCCATCCACCCATCCAGCCATCCCTGCTGGGCCACCTTTTGCCAAGAGACAGAACTGTTACGTCCCCACCTGTAAGTTCCCACCAGCTTCGCCACAAGCCCACTGCTCACCCAGGCAGCCCCTTAGTGCTGCTGTGTTTTGTCTGTCGGGTAGGCTGAGCAAATGGTGCTGTGGCAAGCTCTGGAGGCCTCTGACTCTCCTCCAGTCTTCCCTGTGTCCCCACAGCTTCAGGGCTTGGGGTCATTTCATATCTAGGCTTCACCAGGAGTCGCAGGTAAGTCCTTATGTTTACCTCAGCAGCAAGGGCTGATCAGCAGCGGGGAAGATGATGTGGCCCTATGCCTTACGGCTGTGTGTCTTTTAGTACTGGCTTAGGTGTATTGAGTGCACGGAGCAGGGCGTGTTTGGGATCTGATGCGCTTGTAGCAATGAATGTGGTGAGCGGGCTCACCGCAGTGGGACGCGCGGGCTGGTTATGTGCCGGGACATCCAGCCCCGCTGCTCCAGGCTGCGTTTCTACTCCAGCAGCAGCCCCCCCCCTGCGAGCCATCCCACTGCCACCTGCCAGCCTCTCGGAAAGTGCTCACCTTTCTGCTTGGCTTCAGGCAAAGGAGCCACTGCTAAATCTAGCAATAGCCAGACTCTGCGTGATGTGCTCCTGCGGGCATGCAGGAGTCAACCTGAAGTTTCCTTCACCTGTTTGGAGCTTTTCACGGAGTTGGCTGCTATATTTCTATCTCTACTCCCTTGAGCATCTCCCTGTTTCACAACACACCTGCACCTCCACCTCTGTTACACAAGTGTAAGTACCACGTTTGCCAGCTCTTCCATTTTAACAAATAGGAAAAACTCATGTATTTCAGTGAACATGAAGGTATCCTATCCCAAAGATTTTTTTTTTTTTTTTTTTTTTACTGCAATTATTTACAAGACTACTGGCCAAAGAAGCAAAGCAAAACAGCTTCTTTTTACTGCCACATCATCTCAAGGTATGGTCACACTCCTCTGGGAAGCAGAGACCTCGGAGAAAGCTTCCTTTGGAAATGGACTCCTCATCAAGCAGGATGTTTGCTTGGCTCCCCAGACCCTCACAGCCTACAGTTTGGCATAGCGTTTATGTGTCAGTGCCAGGATGCATTCGGACCCTGGCAGTTCTTGACACCAGAGTTTTCCAGGTTGATCTTCCTGCGAGGTGAAATCCGTAGAGCTATCAATCAGTTCTGTCAACAGCAATTATGTATAAATTGTTGGAATGGGAGGAAGATGGACCATGTTTATGGTCATTTGTGCTAATACAGTTTCTTATAAATTTGTCAATAAATTAACCTATTAACTTCTTTGAGGTACATTTTTGTTATTTTCTGTGCTTGACTGCATTTGCAAAGTCAATAAAATAAATTCAGCACCTGAGGTCAGTTATAACAGAAGAGGAATGAGCACTATGGAGAGATGAATCTTCTCATACGGATGTCAGAGGCAGGGTCAGATGAATCATGCTCTAGAAGTGCTCATTTCTATCCATTAATGACCAGTCCAAGGTGAGTCTAGACTAGCCCAGCAGTAGATGTCTATCCTCAAAACACCTAAGGTGAGATAAATCCTAACATGATGTCTCTGTAGAAAAGCTTAATTGTACCTGAGACCTCAGAGACGCTGAAGGACAAACCATCATTTTTTTTCAGGGGCTTTAAAGGTGACTGATTGTATCCAGTCACCAAAGCTTAAAGCCTTAACAGTGAACTGTGCTCCTGGTTGTTAAAGAAACAAAGGTTTGGTGCTGTGGTAAAGACAAATTACTTGCAAAAACTCAGTTGGTCATTAGTCTGGTCCAGCTCCTACTGCATTGGTTAGCTGCATGGTTTTGTCTACTAGAGAGAAGTGTGAAAATCAATTGCTCACCACTACTATTTATATTACAATCTAATTACTTAGATTTTTTTTTTTTCCTAAACATGAAAGAACTGATAGAGTAGGAAAAGAAGAATAAATAGCTGCTTTGAGTTTCTCTGCAGAGAGTTAAGTAGGATTAAAGAAGGGAAGACTACAGCAAACTGAATTAGCTTTGATTCCTCTTTAGTTGTTATATG